CCGGAGCATCCTCGCCCCCCGCGCCCGCCGCTCCGGCTCTGCGCGCTGCCCCGGGCGGGGGGGGCCCTGCGCAGACTCGCACCCCCTTGATTCTCCCCATGCTCCAGGCGGGACAACTGAGGCCGGAGGGCAAAGCGCTGGTCCTTGGCACCGCGCCCAGGGAGGAGCTGGATGGCAGCACCCAGGCCAGGGCACCCTTGACCACCGCCTGCAAGAACGTGAGCGCTGCCCTGGCTGGGATGGACCCTACGTCCGCCCTGGCCAGCCTCCGGTGCTGCCCGGGGGCAGAGAGGGGAGTGACCAGGTTTTTTCCACTGTTCTTCTCCCGCTGGCAGCTTCCAGCGCTTCAGGTCTGATTCAGAGGCCGTGCCCCTTTCCCCCGAGAATGTGACCTGGCTAGGCGCCGTCCTCCTTTCCCAGGCCTGCAGGGAAGCTGTGTTCGTGGGTCAAGGACTGAGGCAGGGGAGGGGGACGGGGGGAAGTGAGTCCCAGAGAAGCTACAAGTCCCTTCAGGAAGCCGAGCCCCTGAAAGCCTTGGGCTGGGTGATGGGATCCTAGCATCATAGAAAATTGGGCTGGAAGGGACCTCATCCCTGTGCATCTAGTTCAGCCGCTGCTCAAAGCAGGACCAGCCCCAGCCCCAGCTAGATCATCCTACCCAAGGCTTTGTCTACCCAGGTCTTAAGAGCCTCCAAGGAAGGAGAGTCCACCACCTCTGTGGGTAACCTGCTCCAGTGCTTCACCACCCTCCTAGTGAGATGGTTTTTCCTAATATCTAACCTAACTTTACCCTTGCTGCAACTTGAGCCCATCGCTCCTTGTTCTGCATCTGTCACCACTGAGAACAGCCCAGCTCCAGCCTCTTTGGAAACACCCTTCAAGGGGTTGAAGGCTGCTCTGAAGTCCCCGCTCGCTCTTCTCTTCTCCAGACTAAATAAGTCCAGTCCCTCAGCCTCTCCTCATAAGCCATGTCCCCCAGCCCCCTAACCATTTTCATTGCCCTCGGCTGGACTGTCTCCAACTTGTCCACATCCTTTCTATAGCGGGAGGCCCAAAACTGAACACAGGACTGCAGCTGTGTTCTCCCCAGTGCTGAATAGAGGGGAAGGATCACTTCTCTTAATCTGCTGGCAACGCTCCTACCCGTGCAGCCCAGGATGCCGGTAGCCTTCTTGGCAACAAGGGCACACTGCTGGCTCATATTCAACGTCTTGTCCACTGTCACCCCCAGGTCCTTTCCGCAGAGCTGCTGCCCAGCCAGTCACCCCCAGCCTGTACCCGTGCATGGGATTGTTTTCTCCTAAGCGCAGGTCTTAGCACTTGTCCTTATTGAACCTCATGAGATTCCTTTTGGCCCAATCCTCCAATTTGTCTAGGTCACTCTGAATCCTAGCCCTACCCTCCAGTGTATCTACTACTCCCCCCAGCTTGGTGTCATCTGCAGACTTGCTGAGGGTGCACTCTATGCCATCTTTCCAGTCATTTATGAAGATATTGGACAAAACTAAGTGGGGTGCTCCTTGATATCAGCTGCCAGCTAGACATCAAGCCATTGACTACTACCCTCGGAGCCTGATGATCCAGCCAGATTTCTGTCCACCTTTTGAGTCCATTCATCCAACCCGTACTTCCCTAGCTTGCCTGTGAGAACGTGGTGGGAGAAAGTATCAAAAGCCCTGCTGAAATCAAGGTATATTGCATCCGCAGAGCCAGTCATCTTATCATAGAAGGCAATCAGGTTGGTCAGACGTGACAGGATGGTGCCCAGGAGGACTAAAGCCATTTATAATCCTGTCTTTTTAACACCAAATGGAGAAGTTATTCAGAGCATGGGAAGGCGCCTTCCCCCAGGAGCAGGAGTGCTGGTGCGTGCGCTTGGCTCAGCTCCTTCCCCACCCTCTGTCCCTTGTGGGTCTGGGAGTATCTCTGTGCAGTGAATGGAGTGGCTCAGGAAGACTGAACCACTCAATAGCTGTTCCAGACACTGTGCATGGTGGAGCAACCGTACCCTGCTTTTTTCCTGCTGCTGGTTGCACTGCAGTGTGGGTAGGCATCCCGGGGCTACCAGCCTGCAAGCTGAATGGTGCCCCTGGTTCCACGACAGTAACCCATGAGGGATTCAGGAGTTGGCAAGCAGCCTCCCCACTTGCACCAAGCAAAGTGGCCCGGGAAAAAGAGAGACGGCAACATGCAGTGGTTTTTCTTGGCCAGAACAGCGGATCGAAGAGCTGCAGGCTGGAGCCTGCCCCTCCATGGGCTGCACTTTTCTCCTTGAGGTGCAGCAAGTGGGAAGCTGCCCTCTCTGCTGCTTGCCACTCAGATGAGAGGTGGTGCATCTGGCCCCACATGGAGTGCGGTTTGGGCTTCCTGGCAAACAGCTATCGTAGCGAAGCTTGGGGAGTCCCAAAGGAACTGCAGTAGCAGAATTTCCCACTTGGTTCACCATTGCAAGGACTGAGGATGCCTCTGCCTTTAACTCATTTCTGCTTGTCACTGAAGCTGGCTGTATATATTAATTAACATAAATTGCCTCTTTGCCAGTTGTTTACTGGGCACCATCAGAGTTTTCAGCTCCATATAAAATGCAGAGGAAGAATTGGCTCCTGCCCCAAAGAGGCCAGCAGCTAAACTAGTCAAGGAATGATGCTCAGACACTCCATGTGTCAGGGCCTTGTTTTTACTGAGAAATTGAATCCTCTTTAAGCTCAATTTTTAGCACTCAGGTTGGCTGATGCACAGCTGAGTAGTCAGTGTAGGCAGAGATGAGCTGTGTTGTTAGGATGAAGCATGTTCACTATCATAATACAGGGGGCCAAGCGGGATCAGGACTCCATCATACAAACAGAGTGGAGGACTGGCCCTGCAATTTAAAAAACTAGGGAGCTAAGGCTGGGGGAAAGGAGAAGACATCCAAGCAGAGCAGTCAGCATAAAAGCAACATGTTTGTTCTACGGTTTGGAGGGGAAGGGAATTATTAAGAGGGGAGTTGACTAAAGGGAAAGACAAAGGAAGAGAGAAGCAAGAAGGGCAGACAGCAGGGGATGTCAGGGAAGGGTGCAATGAGGCTGAAAGGAAAGGGCATCAAGAAGGGTGAGGGTTTGGCAGTTTTCTCTGATCTGTAACATGTTTGTGTTGGCATCCACTGAGCCAGCTGCAAATAAAAGTGGGTCCCCTCAGAGACATGATGTTAAACACAACTTGTCTTTGCTTTTGCTGATGTGTTGTAGTGAATGCTGCCTCACTTAGCTCAATCCTCTACATGCGCTCCAGTTTCCTAGTGGATACAGGGTCTCGAATAATGGACAGGCCTTGAAGTGGGAGTGCTGAAACAAGTGAAGGAGTGCTGTGTCAGTGTGTGAACGCCAAGAAGCTCCATGTAAGCAGTGTGCACTTAGCAGGAGCTTCACGGCCTGTCTCCTTTTCTTCCATCTACCGGACCAGTTAAAAGTCAAACATAGTGGAAGAGGGAAGGCCTGGAGCAAAGAAAGAACCGCTTGCCTGGTCTCCAGTTCCCTATGGCTAAGTGCTCTTACTGGACCCCTGCTTGGAGTGCAGAAATTAGGCCAGTGTGGGAAAAGGTGAACAAGTTGCAGTAGAGTCAGGTAATTAAAGCAGCATCCATTCCACTTATGCCCTTCACACTTGTGAAGCCCTCAGCAATAAGCACAGCCTCAGGGAGAGAAAAGCAAGGAATCAAAATAAGTAAATATGGGGGTGGCTTGGACAAGGTGTAGATGCCTACATTGAGCTAATGGGATAGTAGGAGTTGGACCCTGAAGACTGGAGCTAGTGGGAGGGGGAGACAGCTCCTCTTGTATTCTGTTCTATTCTTCATAGGTTCTGGTACCACAATCCTCACGCAGTGTTTTAGCACCTTCCCGGAGTGCAGTAATGTGACTAATGCTTGTTACGTGCTGTTTATTCCTCCATCCTTTCCCCAAAGATGAGGTGTGAGCAGTAGAGAAGTCTGTTTCTGTAGTTTCTTTAATGAACAAGTTGCTGTGCATTGGTTAGAGCAGACAAGGTCAAATGGATGAGGGACAGCTTGGGAAGATCTGTGGCTGATGGGGCTATAGACAGCAAGGAGTTATTTTCAGTCTGTGTGGAGCCCAAGAAACCCTAGCTGGGGTATGGGCCTGCTGCCTGCTGGAGAGGGCAAAATGGCTGATAACGCTGCAGAAAAGGCAGAATTTCAGAAGCAGTTCTGTTCCGTGTCGGGAGTAGGATGGTGATTATATAGGGATGATGAGGCACCTTCCAGTTTGTTGGAGAAGGTCTCAGGCGACATCAGCCAGGGGGAAACCTATTTTTAAATCAGCAGACCTGGTTCTTTTCCATCCAAGAGTCCTAAAAGAGCTGGCTGAAGAGATCTCTGAACCATTGACATTCATGTTTAATAACTCTTGGAATCTGGGAGCAGTTCCAGAAACAGGTCGGTGTTGTGCCAAGATTCACAGAGGGCAAGAGGAATTGCCTGAGGAAATCTAGGACAGTTAGTCTGACATCACTCCCAGCCATAATCAGAGAAAAGCTGCCATGGAACTGAGTCAATAAAGAATTAAGGGATAGGAATGTAATTAATGCCAGTCAACATGGCTTTACGGAAAATAGAGCTTGTCAAACCTGATTTCCTTCTTTGAAGCAGTTAAAAGTTTGATTGATAGAGGTGAATGTAATAGACTTGGAA